AGAACCCCATATTGTAACCCACCGGGAAAACCTTGGCATGCAGTTCATTCCACAATCGGAGGGTCCGTGGGAAGAAATTCCTCTGAAACCGAACTGTACAGGACCATTTGGGCTCCAATGTGTGAACTCCCTGTCGACGGCGAGCGGTGCGATGATAGAAAGTGGCCGTGGGCATCATATCAAACCACTCCGCGGAACACAATACACTATATAAGCGGTAGAATATGCACAAGGAGGCAAAATATCGCCTTAGACTTTAGTGCTGTCGCGGAGAACCTAACGGGTTACCGGAGCTCCGGCTCGAAGTAAAGGAGAAAGAACGGGGTGGTTTTTAGTCAGTAAGAGTCTGACATTCCCTACCGCCTCACCCAGGCGGGAGCAGTCATTCGATGATTTTCCCCTCTTAAAAAAATACTGGTGCCCAATACCGCTGTCAAGAGGTCCAAGCTGGTGGGCTGGTGTTTAAAATACTCTGACTGTAAATACCGACTAGACTTTGATATAATCCTACTTATATTATAAACGCCATTATTTTCTGTAGCAACGCGTCTGTAACTGCCATTAACATTTACGCCACGTGCATTTTAAGAGGACTTATTTGTGAAACAATGCTCGTTCAACCTTGACCAATACAAGACCAGCGTTTAAAATTAGGTCTAGGTACAGAAATAAATAGGTAGTCTATGCCTCCGTATTATTATCAGCCCTATTACTTTTGGAATAAGGTGTAACTTAGGGATGTAGGTGTTAGTGTTATTTTTATATTAAAAGTTTAGAATGCCTTAATTGAATCTTGTGAAATTTTCCAGTTTGTTAAAACATCATAAAATTATGAAAAATGAACATATTTTACAAGTTTGAAAATTTCCTGTAAATACTTAGTACCTTTTGGAAACTAAATAAAATTTGCGTTTTTATGTTATAACTTCTTCGGGACAATATCTTTTTCAGAATATCTACAATTGAATAATATGTACCACTACTTTGCTGTAGTGTGTTAATGATTACATAAGTAAAATAAAATATGACGACCTTTTTACGGTCAACCTTTCATAATAAATTCACTTCAAAGTGTGATTACCAAATAAGAAGCCAAAAATGAAAGCTTCAACAAAACCATATTTGTTTAAAAACTCGTACCTAATATGTAAAAAAAATAAACGTTACGGATGAACTGTGTATAACCTTGAGGTAATCTATTTATGACGGACGTATATTATACATTATATACATACATATGTGCCTTAATTTTTCTTTAATATGTTCCTCAATGCCTATAGATAACAGTTCAACAATATAAAGTTGACATTGAATTAATCTTTTAAAGAGGGTACTCAATATAATCAGTCGTTAACTTTAAAAAAATATTTTAAAACTAGCTTTTACCCGCGGCTTCGCTCGCGTCACAAAAGGATAAAAAGTAGCCTATGTGATATACCTCTATACTAATAGACACAGCGCCATCTATACCAATACTTTTGTTTTCCCTCGGGAATATCACATTTTTCCGGGATAAAAAGTACCCTATTGTTTAATCCGGACTTCTAACTTTACGTCTGCAAAAATTCAAAGCAATCGGTTTAGTAGTTACGACGTGAAAGCGGAACAAACAAACAAACTCACTTTCCGATTTATAATATTAGTAAGGATTTTAACGTTGCCTCACACGTATGATTTTCTTCTGTGTCACGGCTGCGTTTATAAACATACAATTCCATGTACACATAACACGCACATATAATATTAGTCCGAGGGAATGGGAGAAGCTCGCTGTTCACAGACAGTCTTGGCGCATTACTATCAATGAAAGTGTACGAGCGTTCGAACAGCAGCGACTAGATACATTAGTCACAAAGCGCCAAATACGTAAAGACAGATCTAAAACTTCCTATACTTACACGTACATCTCTGCCGGCCAGATTTACTGCTCTAGTTGTGATCGGATTGTCAAAACTAAATTCGGTCTGGCCAGTCACATCAGGGCACACGGCAGGAAATAGCTATAAGGGTAGCCGTTACCGAAATCGGTAAGTAAGATTATGTATATACACGCACATCGAAAATTTTATAACGAAAATAAATTTTCAATTCCGACTTAAGTGGTGTACCTATATCAGAAAAACAAATTATTAGTACTGTACAATGTAACACCAAATATTACAAATGTTGTTTAAAAGAACATAATACTATTATGTGTTTACTTCATTCATTATTTGTTCAGCTTTTTCAATAAAAAGGAATGATAATCTTTGTCCTTTATGCCGTGTTAAAAGGACAAAAACTACATAATATGTTATTATGTACCTACTTAGTTTAAAAGTGTATTTGTTATTACTCACATGGAACATTGAACTCAGAGGGTTTTTAAGGGGGGGGGGGGGGAGAGTCATCGAATGACTTCTCCCGCCTGGGTGAGGTGGGAGGAAGTGTAAGACTCTTACTGACGAAAAACCACCCCGTTCCTACTTCTGCACTTCGAGCCGGAGCCCCGGTACCGTTAGATTCTGAGCGGCTTCATATCGGCATCAGCCCTATTGGGCCCCATCTGTGGTGGTCTGATGGATCTTCGAGGCACGCGCGGAACGCGACGCGCCGTACGCTCGGGTCTGGTTCTGATCGGTCGGCGAGCCACCCATGCTCGCCGTCCGCAGGCCCGCGCTTACAGTGGCCGGAGATCGTCCCGCGATCCCCGACGCCCGGAGTGTCCTTCGCGATGGCAACTCAGGAGGGCTTAGTACGATTTTCTTTAACGTTTAAAGTAATCGAACAGGTGTACGAGTTCGGCGCTGTGATTGGCCGGCTCCAGTGAACCAGCTAATCAGAGCGCCGATCGCGGTCTTGTTTCGATTACTCTAAACGTAAAACAAACTTATAATGAGCCTTCTGAAAAATTATAAGCTAATTTCGTTAAAGGTTTATCGGCTTTTTATAAATTCTCGTGGTACAACTGAATTATGTTTGGAATTATGCACGGAACATGACAATTAACTCATGAAGTCAAGACATACTCAACTGGTGATAAGTTGACCTCATGTTACACGTTTAATGTCGCGGAGAACCTAACGGGTAACTGGGGCTCCGGCTCGACGTGCAGAAGAAGGAACGGGGTGGTTTTTAGTCAGTAAGAGTCTGACACTCTCTCCCGCCTCACCCAACTGGGAGCAGTCATTCGATGATTTTCCCCCCTTAAAAAAATATACACATTGTGCATTTCTTCAGGAACAAAGACATGAAGTTATATTAGTTTAAAATATTGCGTGAAAACTTATTTTTTTCAATATAGCTACGACTACACATCGAGGTATGCAGAAAGTGCCTTTCTAGTCTACCTAATTCAAATAAATGATTTTGACTTTGACTTTGAAAACAAGTTTATCATGATCTCGTTCTATATGATCTTTCAGAACGTTTGAAGATAAGTTTATACTGGTTTAGCTTAGCTTGATGAGTAACCATGCGTAAGTAGGTATATATTTGTGCATATAATAGTTTAGTTAAAATCAGAAATTACTAGATATATAATTAAATCTAAATAGTTCAAGCAATAATTAACCGTATTACAAGGAATTTTGGTGTAATTAGCAAATTTCAGTGTTTGTGGTAAATTAATTATTAGGTAACAAAGGCCGTTGTTGATTGTTTTGTGATTAAATTGTAATGAATTTGAATGAGTTATGAACTGAACAATGTACAGAAATGTTATTTTAGTCATAATCCAAAAAGGTTTAAGTAAGAATATAAATCTTCCGATCGATTTCGATCATGGTGGCCAGTCTGTATAACTAGACTAACCCACTAAACAGAAGTTATTATAGTGCACAAGTGTGTGCACAAACACACGTGCACTCTCTATTCAATTCAATCTCACTCTGAATCCAATGAGACAGCAGACCGACACGACCGGAGAGAGGCCAGACGTAGGCCCAACGACTTTACGTGCTTTCCGAGGCATGGGGGTGAAACATCCCCGAAACTTCCTGCCTCCGGGCTTATTATAGTCATTTTACTCATAAAATGCAATTATCACTTTTTGCCGGCGCGGGAATTCAATCCGCAACACGTTGCACAGCAGCTATCACCCAAACACTGCGCCAACCGTGCAGCACTAAGAATATAATAATTTCGTCTAAGAATAGTCAAAGGATAGGTATAACAGTCAAGATTACCGGAGGTCTTCCCCCTAACCCTAAAAAGACCGGCAACACACTCGTAACTCATCTGGTGTTTACCTGTCCGATTACCACCAGGTGATTCATCTGCTCGTTGGCATCCCTATAACATAAAAAGTCGTTCTGTTAAAGAAATTGTTGTGCAATAATTGTTTAAAAGAGGTTGTTTGACTTATATTTTCAATTTTATATAAGTAAGACGTTCAGTATCGTGGGGGCCCGGAGGTTGAGACCCCGCTTCTCATGCATGAGGGCACTCTCATGATTGAGAAGCGGGTTCGCAACCGAAGGCAAGTAACAATGTGACTTTTTCCGTGTTATATGTATTTTCTAAGATTATTTAGACACCACTGACAAACGATGAAGGAAAACATCGTGAGGAAATCAGTATCATAAATTCTAATTATAAGTTTGAAATCAATGAGCAAGCGTGGTGATTAATGCTCAAACCTTCTCCGTGCGAGAAGAGGCTTTGCTCAGCAGTGGCCACTTATAGGCTGTTGATGTTAAAGACGTTTTTAATTTACACAAATAATTGTGTAAAAACGTAACATTTGCGTCAACATTGTACACCAAAACACTGATTGTGCACACAATAAAAGTAATTTAAAATAATGGCCGAAACTAATTAGTTTACAAGTCAAACAGATTTACCTTCCGAGTTCCGACCTTCTTCAGGACAAACACATCCTTATTCAATAAACAAACAAATATAACAATTGAGCGCATTTCCCGTAAATATCTTTATCTCATTTATTTATTTATTCGCCCGCCATCTTTTCTGCAGATAGGGATAATCAAAAGAATAAATATCTCTTTTTTCTGTTTCAGGTGATTCGCAAGTGGCGTACCTCTACGTGATTCGTAAATTCGGCTTTACAGAAGTTGAATACAGCATTTATGGTACCATAAACATTGTGCTGGGCATCTTTGGTAAGTGTACAAATTAGCACGTGTATATTTTGTACTTTTTAAGTATCATAACATAACATAACCGTCTGGCTTTTTATCCCCGAAGGGGTAGGCGGAGGTGCACATTACGGCTCTTAATGCCACAGTACAATGTAACACCCACTTTTCACTATTTATATTATGATTATGAGTCCCATGGAATAAGGGGTGAGCCTATTGCCATATGCCACAATTCCAGACTCTGTGCTACTACAGAGATTGGTTTATTAAATAGACCCGGAAATCGATACCTAATACGACTTGCCCAGCAGTCGCACTTGTGATCACTTGATCAATGAGACAGTTTTTTAAGTAACATAAGTAATATTTAAGTTAGGAAGGTTTCCTTAAGTACACTGATCCCAAAGTCGTAAACTTTTATCCTTGGTTGTGTTTGTATTTTTATTTTTTGGTAACAATTTATTTATTTATTACCAGCAATAAAATGTAATTAAAGTTGAATCTTTCTTTTTGTAATTAAGTACAAGTTACAACGAAAATAAAATTAAACAATAAAATATCATGTTTTTAATCGCCATGTCTTAAGCAAACAGAAACTAAAATAAGATTTTCTCAGGTATGCATGAAGGTATAAAAAGATTTAAAAATACATAAATGACAAAAAATTATCCCCTAATTAAAAACCTTCACGGATTAACTTACCTACATAACAAAATATCAGGCCATTTTTTATACCAGCGATACCCATGGATCAAATCGTTATTTTTTTGTCACAACCAAATCAGATACTTAATTATTATATCTTATTTGCATATGATTTTTACTTTTGTATGTCAGTTCAATGTGACCTTTATATGTATCTACATTTGAGTCCAGTATACAATGTACACTGTACGTACAGCGGCCACCAGTTGCAGGTCAACATACTCTTTAGGAATTATTTTTCATTGCATTTTCGACTTCATTTCAAAACCATAAGAACTAAAAGAAATTAGACAGAATGGAGTAGTATGACATGCTGCCCACTATACATAACTATGTAGTTTATGAATTAAGAAACGCAGCTTGTTGCGTGCGCTCGGTGTAACGCCATCTTTATCAACCTAGGTCAAGGCTTGAGAATCGCGATAGAGACGTGCATTTATCACGCAACCGATCCCCCATCTTCCTAAAATATATTCTACCGCCATGCAAATAAAGTCTGCTCTTCCGTGCTCAGGATAACGTTCATTAATTTACTAATTATTTTTATCAAAACGAGTTTCAAGTAGCAGGTGATGTTCTACAAATTATCTGAAATCATTATACTTTAAAACCTTAATTTTCGGTCGATCACTGGGTGCGTTTAATTGTGGTCAGTGGAGGTTTTATAGATCCAGTTTTAGGCCAATGAACTATAATTACTACTTTAGTACAAAGAAATGTATCGAATTCGATATTAACCTACATTTAAAATAGTCAAACATTTTTTTTATATTAAAACCTTCGTGAGGCATGCTAAATTAATTATTACCTCTATAATTTCGGCTACAAAACCTAATAGCTAAAAAGTAGATAGTAGTAGTAGAATATATTATTATAAGAGCAGTGCGACAGTTGCCACATCGCAGGTCGCGGAATGCTGCTCATGAATACGAGCCTCTAGCATGGCTTGAAACTAGTAGAGTTCCTCGTCAAACAATTACGTGAGTAAGCCGAAAACATAATTATTATTTTTTTTTTCTTATTTACAAAAGTATTTTTAAAAGTTCAAAAGAAAAACTTAACATTTTATTGCTGGAACCTTTCGGAGGACCACTATGGATAACTGTTCCGATTATATTCGACAGAATTTTTCAAATAATTCTACACAAAGTAAACCGGTGATGGAAAGCTAGTTTAAGATTTACATAAAGAATTTTAATTTCGTTCGTTATTGTTCTTTGAAACCTTGGCAAAAACAGCACAATAAAGGAATTACAGAATGTAGGTTAGCAAATATTATTTGTAGCATCACGTACTAATCTGCAAGAAACATCATTTACCTTACGGAGCTAAAGACTTCAATAATTGTTTTATTCTTTTATCTTAGGTATTAGAATATTAAATGAATTGACCTCCAATTTTGCTAGTAGAAGTGTTGCTATAGGCAAGGTAGTCTCTAAGACTTCTCCAAATATGTAAAAATTATCTTTTGGTGGGTTCTATTGTTTTCCACAGCCCATGATAGTCCTCGGATGGACCATGGACTATGACTCTATACCCTATCTAGCATAATCTTATTGCTATTATAATCTTATAATCCATGCATGCCAGTTTTTATTTTTAGATTAAATTTTTAAGAAAGATAAATAATCATAATTGAAATCTTAATTTTATAACGTAGGTAATACGGTACAAAGTGCAATACATAACATCACACCTTTTATCCCCAATGGGGTAGGCAGAGGTTCACATTACGGCGTTTAATGCCACTGTAGGTACAATGTTACACCTACTTTTCACTGATTATGTTATGAGTATCATGTAATAGGAGGTGAGCCTATTGCCATAAACCGAACACAATGCCAGATTCTTGCTGTGTGTTACTGTTGAGATTAAAAAAAAATTAAAATTAAATCCCTTGTCCAGCAGTCGCTCTTGCGACTACTAGGCCAACGAAGCAATCTCATACTAAATTCCTTATAATTTGTTGCAAAATTATTTTGAATTATTGCTAGTTGGATACCACGCTTTTGGCATGAGGCTTTTGGTACTAAATGAAATGAAAATCAACAGATTGTATTTAACATTATAATATCAATAATTGCATTATGTATTTCCAGTAAATGCGTAAATGTCATCGCAAGTTCAATTATTATTATCTGTTTTCAAGTTATCAGAAAATAAACATTTTCGCGGAACACGCATGAAATGGAAGTATAATGATAATAAGTTTAATTAGAGCCTGCTGCGTTTTATTTGTATGCATTGATGTCATGACATTTTATCATTACGTAATGTTGTACTTATTTGTGATTTACAATATCAATATTTTATTTTATTTTTGGATTCAGATAATCACTTCTTGGTAGCAATTAAGTATGGCCTACTGCATGATTTAAATTGTTATGCGACTTGGCGATTGTCAAGTATTTCAACAATTTAATTATTTAAACAAAATATAGACCTATGCCATTATCTATTTTTTTATGCGTCAAACTCGGCACAGCCCCCAAAACCGTAGTAGATACAACCACGAAAACACCGGAACACTGAATTCCAACGCGTCTCAGAGACGTGAATAACTGTCTTAGATCCCGCAACGTAACAAATCAGAAGATATTAATATAGGAGAAGAAAAAAAAACGATAGTTTTCACTTCCTTCGGTGAATTTATGCTAGAGACAGAATGCCTTAAGCCTAAAGGGACAATATATATTGGACGACTGGTGGAAGCCCAGTCGCCAAACACCACGGAAAATATTACTTGCTACCAATAATACATATGGCATACACGCTTAATCGCATGGAAATTCGTTCTAGCTTCCACAAGGTCTGTATAATAATGAAATGGCATTAGTAAGAAAGGTCTTATTGTGAAAAGAAACTTGAAATACAGGCAAACACTTTTCATTTCAAACTAACTTAGTCTCCATGTCAATCTTCAACACAACGCCAGATCCCTAGATAAATTCCATTTATAAGAGGCGCTAGTCGAACGATTGAATACAAAATTAAATGTAAGGTTGTGACTAAATTTTAATGGAATTTGTCGAATGTCAGTGGTAATTGTGTAGTTACATTGGGAATTCAATAAAAACTGAAAGCACTTTGGACATTTTTAAGTCCACATTGCTACCGCTTCAAAGTTTACTAATACTTTACTAGTAGCAACCTTTCTTCCTTTTTTTTCTTCTCCTCTCATAATATCTTCTGATTCACTTCGTTGCGGGAACAAAGACAGTTATTCATGTCCCTGGGATGCGCTGGACTTCAGTGTTCCGGTGTTTTCATGGTTGTATCTACTGTAGATCCTGGCTTACAGGAGTTGCAGTGGTTTTGGGAGGCAGTGGCGGGTATGTCCCATCAAAACAAAAAATAGTAGCAACCTTGAACCATGGAAACCAATCATTCTGTACATTGATAAATAATAAAATAGATATAATTATACACATGTCAAGATCATACAGTAACATATGACATTGTAGATGAATAAATCATGTTAACATTACGCAATACTGCGACGTCCAATGTTCGGAAATTCACAACGTTTCTCATGATTTATAGAGAGAATTTCCTTGAACTGAATGCACTTGCATTCAGTCAACCGCAGTACTGTTGAACTTATTGGATTTTAGAAAATAGACCTTGGTTATACGATAATAAAGTTTAATCATTTAACTTCGAACACATTGATGTTGATTTTACAAGTCTTTCTTTAAATGTTAATGCAAAACTGAAAACGTCTCGATGTACTCTTTGTACCAAAATTTATCAAAATTAAATGTGATTAAAAATGTTACAAAAAGGAACTTTATGATAGAACTAAAACTATCGCTTAATTTAATGATGAAAGATGAACGTCTTTTTTTTAAGGGGGGAAAATCATCGAATCACTGCTCCCGCCTGGGTGAGGCGGAAGGAAGTGTCCGACTCTTACTGATTAAAAACCACCCCGTTCCTTCTCCTGCACCTCGAGCCGGTGCTCCGGTTACCCGTTAGGTTCTCCGCGACAAGATGAACGTCTAGACGCAAAATAACACGATAATACACCAAAAAATGTGTTGAAATGTCATAAACGAAAATAGAATATATTTAAATATCCGACGAACTCGACGATAAAACTCTTGAATTATGAAAATAAAAATTTTAAATTCAATTACAGTTATTGTACCTGTAAGATTAGCAACAATTTTTTGTGTTAAACTTAGTATTTTGAACCCTTTCAACAATTACTCTACAAACTGGTTCTTGGTCGGCCAATCAAGGCAATCAAAAAGAGCAATCTAGTCTAAAACAGTTTCATTTGGAAGTCGTGGCGTAACTAATAATCGGTTATTTTATATAACTTCAGTCAAATCTATACAGAAGGTCCATATGCATTTATGCACAGGTAGCCAATAGCAAAAGTAGTTATAAAAAAGAATTAGCTGTGACATTTAAAACTATACAATCACCAACCTTGATCATATGGTCGGAAATGGAAAGGTCCAAGACGTAGATTTTTTGATTGAAAAAAAAAGGTATATAATCATACCTATAAGATGCTAAAAATACAACTGATAAAAACTGGGTTATTATATTACTATAAGTAGATAGAAACTACAGTGACAAACAAGTATGATCTAGAACTCTCGAGGATATTATGACTCCCAGCGTGGTGCGAAATAATCGAACTGTCATTCTCGAATAGTGTACCTAATAATATTATTCCAATTATGTTCTCATACAACATTTACTGTACAAAAACAGACACTAAATTACATAAGGACATTCATTACATATGTACTGTCTGCAAAGTTTACGGTAGTACACTTTTAAAACAAAATCCTATGGCAAGCTCGCTACCCAGCGGATGTTTTCCCTGTGGTCGCTCGTGCCAGGTGCATGCGAATATCGTCTAATGATGGTCGACCGCCAACTTTGTCGATTGTATCTATAGTTAAAGACCTTAAAGGTCAGGCACACGGCATGCACTCGCAAATCTTACACGAGGCGTATGCAAACGTTCCTTCTGCGTCACCTACACAGTTACCAGTAGTTACCAAATACACCGCACTGCATAATACATGAGATAGTGCAGGATCAACTGTTTATTTAGTAGGAAACTGGCTCAATTCACTGTTTCATAGGCGGTAGACGATTTAAGTAGAGAAACGGTATATTAAGTGAGTTTTAAATGTTAGTGTAAGATTTTTCCATATCATTTGCATAGGTTAGGCTTAAAACTTCCTTCGCAATGTCTGATCAGAATACTATTAGCGTAACTAACACCTACTTTTTCAGTTTTGTATGGAAAATATGTCAACATATCCGTCCTTAAGACTAATATAAACTAAATGAGTTATTGTGAAATGGACCCTAAATGAGATTGTACTATTATTAAGGCATTTCTTATCACCAAGAAGAAGTGTTTATGTTTTGAGTTGACTAACTCTTAGTTACATAACATCACGCCTTTCTTTCCAGAAGGGATAGGCAAAGATGCACATTACGGCACGGGAACATAAATAGTAAAAAGTAGGTGTTACATTTTACTGTGGCATTAAGTGCTGTAATGTGCACATCTGCCTACCCATTCGGGGATAAAAGGCGTAATATTAAGTTATGAGTCCAATGTAATAGGGTGAGCCTATTGCCATATACCGGGCACAAGACCAGACTCCGTGCTATTGATTTTTTTAAAAAAACCCATTAGCTCTTCGCCGACCCGTGAGTCGAACCCAAGCTCCCTTGCCCAGCAGTCATGTATCATGCATGTACATTTCAAACGTAATGAATACCTCAAACTAATATTCCTTATACGAAGGAGTCATTAACATTCAGACGATACTCTAAACATAATATGTTACGTCACACTAAACTTCCCAAAAAGGTCAATAAACTGACAGGTCATTTACCTAAAAACGGTAAACGAATTAAATGTTCAAATTGAAGCATTGTTGTTTTTTCCTCCTAATCTCTAAACGCTTATATTCTTACTAGCTAATGTTGTGCGATTTCACCCGCTGCTCGGGTACTATTGATGTTTATAACCTTCATCAATAAATGAACTACCCTACACATTTATTTTTCTAACCAAGATTAACGCGTTCAAACAAACAAACAAACTCTCTATACACATTCTAGTATAGATTTATATATTTAATATAGATTTAGCGTCCCACTGACCATACCTAAACATATTTAGAGTGGCAAATGCAAACTAACTGGTTCCCAACTTGCGTAGGACCCGGCTACCCTGAGATACTCCAACGTCCTTACAGGAGTCGTTATTGTCATAATCATCAGTCGGAATACGTCCATTGCTGAACGAAAGGATCCATCTTACTTGTCCACGACGAATGACAATTCGCCACTTGCACCCATCAACTCCTCGTGACTCTGACGATGTATACGCGACTCAGACTCGATACAGTCTCCAAGGGTCTTTAGTACTCCAAAATATTGGAGTAATCCTGTAAATGAGTGGAGTCGAATTCAAAAAGTTATATGATGATGCGGTACAGCAAACGACATTAAACAAATCAATAAATTGCACATTTTATTAGAACCCCGAATTAAATCAGGTTTTTTGGAAAATAAAACGTCAAACAAATATAAAATTTTGGCATAATCTTGTATAGTTTATTGCCACTTTATTATTTTGTAATGATATTGGAGATTTTAAATTCAATGCAGTTTTTTAATTTACTTATTTAAGTATATTCGATGCAAAGAAATTTAAATTAATAATGTTTACATTTTACGAAACCTAACCCGATTCATTTCATGCCACAACCTGGATTCGTTATAATAATCAGCATAAGTACACGTAGCGAACTTCTTAATTTTAAGCAGTCAAATTGTATTTATACGAATATTTCAAACACATTTTTTTCTTCTCCAGGTACCCTATTCTGCGTATACATCCTTAGTCAAAGGCTGAATGTACAAGATAGTGCCATTGGGGCTCTCGCAGCTACTAGCAGGATAGCCAGCTGTTTCATGTTCGCGTTTGCACCGACAAGACCATGGTACTATTCGGCGCCTATCTTAAACATCTTCAGTCATACTGGGTTGACTGCCATCAGATCGATAGCCACTAAAAGTGTTCCTACTGAAGAAGTTGGTAAGAAACCTTTTTATTCTACAATAAGTACCTACTTACTTTAACTATCCTACTGTGCGCAATTCATTAGTGTAATAAAATAGGAGAAGCTAGATTAGATTTTTCGCTAGAAGCGTTAGGTGCACGGGTTTCCAAAAGAATACGTAATAGTCTAAACAATATTATAAAATATTCTATTACAAAGTTACCAAAGCGTTATGAAGTAGAATTATGAATAGTTTCATTGCAGAGGTAAGCTGCTTATATACAAGCGCTGCTCTGGCTACTTCATTTATAAGGAGCTTACTCAGTACATACTGTCCACGTCTTACACAATGTCTTTCGAACCCGTAGAACGAACACTTATTTAATTTACCAACAGATACTGTATAGGAGACCATCTTAATTAAAATGTAACTAAGTATTTGTTAATTCCAAAATCTCCCCAGTAACAGTGAACTCGTCGAATGACTTTGATTGTTGTATTTATCTCAGAGCAAACCGTCTAAATGACGGAAGAAATTGCTCAATAAAACGTAACGACTTGATAAAACAAAAGTTGCTGAGAAGGCCAGCAACAGCAGTTTGTACAGATAACAGCACATGAAGCTAGCAGAAAATTTTCAAACTTGCAATAGAGTTTTAACTTTAAACCAAAATACTAGAGTTGAAAATCTTTTAGAGAAGCCGGTCAGCCTAGAGTAGCCTGATTTGCTGCTGTTTATAGAACGCCGAAGTCTGTTCAAAGGATTAGCACCTGTTGCTTTAAGGTCGGAGAATTCGTTTTTGCATAAATTTTCCTCTGGTTAAAGCACCCATTAAATGAATCAGGAGAAACGTGGAAATTAGAAGTTGTTTGTTTTGTTCCTGTTAGGTTTTCGAACAATACAATATTTATAAAGTTTTGTAAGCATTTCATCGAACATTTCCATGGTTGAAAAGTCGTAAAGTTGGTCAAACAGACTTTTTAACACTGTTTACTTAATATAGATAAAGAATGCTGAATTCTCTCCCTTTTTTACAGCTAAACTGAATGCGTTAATAGGAGTGACGGAGGCTATAGCCCCTTCAATATACATGCCATCAACGAGCTACATCTACGTCCAAACCATCTCGTCCTTCCCTGGTGCCTTCTACATGTTCGATGCTGTCCTCACTGTGGTTGCTTTAGGACTATTTACGTAAGTTACTTTAATTTTTATTCATATTGATGTGAGGTTATTTTACCTTTCTGATTTTATATGTTCACTAGCTGACCCGGCAAACTGCAGACCGCCTATCGTTTTCTCTCACCTTTTAAACTTACCCTGGACTTTCACAAACATATCTAGTTTTTGCGACACTAACGAATGGAAATCTATTTTTATTTATAAAGATAAACAAAAATCTATTTCGAGAAAAAAAAATTTTGTTCATATTTTAACTGAGACAATCAATTGGTACTTTTAATATATCATGGATATTACAAGTTGATAACACTTTTAATCTAATCATAATATTAATAAAGAACACTTACATTTATATTGAGGTAGGTCCAGGTAGACAATGCATTATCGTAGAGTAGATAAAGGTACGTTTGAACAAATTATTCCTTGCATACATTGTTCCACTGTTTCCGATCGTAATCCAAAATTTGTAGATTAAAATATGATTTTGTCAATAATTATATGAAAATTCTGTCAAAAACGAACATAGATAAAGAGATTTTGGATTAAGCATATTTTCTGCCGTAAGGCCATTAAATACATGCAAATTTTCTTTTTGACGGGAAATCATTCAATGCCTTCTCCCGCCTTGTGAACCTGATTGAACTAATCTATGGAGTTTCTTGCTCGTTCTTCTCCATAGGAATCAACACCTTGGAATGAGCAAATAGCTTCACTTTAAATTTTTTGTTGACGTTCAAAAATGCCTTCCTGGTCTAATTGAAATAAATAATTTTGACTTTAACTGGGTGAGGCGAAAGAGAGTTTAAGACTCTTACTGACTGACCTCACCCCGTTCCTACTTCTGCTTTGACCCAGTAACCCGTTAGATTAGTCCGCAGCTCCGGGAAATACATGCAACACTTGAATTTCTCAAAGTTCTCTTTAGTCCGCGGAGGACTTAAAGGGTTGCTGGGGCTCCGGTTTGAAGTGTAGGAGAACGGGATGGTTTTTAGTCATTAAGAGTCTGACACTCCCTTTCGTCTCACCCAGGCGGGAAAAGTTATTGGATGATTTCCCTCCTTGAAAAAAGGAGCTAATACCTGTAAATTAAGCGAACACTTTATCGTCGATATTTCAAAAGAGAGATTGATAGGTACTTACTTCTTATATCTAAACTATTACAAGTAGTATGAAATAAGTAAGTAAAGCAATGACGAAAACATGGTGTAATTGTTTTGCAAGTGTCGTAAAACAATTAGATAAAGATGGCTAAGTTTGTTTTGTCGCAATATTATGTCTATGCTGTAGGTATTTTCTCTCTAAAATCTACTAAAATATTAATGGTCTTAATCCTTACTGTGATACAAACCATTCAAGAAGCCTTTATTTTGGAGATAAAACTGTGTTTTTGACTTTGTGTCGGTGGCAAATTCTGTTTTGTTTATGTTTATTTTGATTGCAAAATCGATTGAAAAAGCGATGAATTTATATCGATTTCCACACATGATCTTAACGATTGTTACATGTTGTAAAAAGCAGTTGGATAATAATTTTTCATTTTACAGAGCAATGGTATTAACAGAATTATACCTACTTAAGCCCGACTTAAAATTGAATAGCGTTTGAGTATTTTACAATGAATACTTAATATAATAATCCAACAAACAAAAGAATCCAAACAATTGAAAACTAGGGTACACAAGCTAGTATGACATTCAGAAATTAAGAAAAAACCCATTATATTTTTTCTCTCACGGAAAAAAATGTATTGCAAAACATGAAAAAAATTGAGGACATGTGGGGTCAATTAGTGCATTACGTCAATAGTTATAATTATTTATCATCATAACACCACCCTTTTTTATCTCCGAAGAGCTAGGCAGAGGTGATTATTTCGGCACTTAATGTCACTGTACAATGTAACACCCACTTTTCACTATTTATGTTATGAGTCCCTTGTAATAGGGGGTGAGCCTATTGCCATATACCGGGCACATTTCCAGACTCCGTGCTACTACTGAGATTTTAAAAAACCCAGTAATACTTTGCCCGACCCGGGAATCGAACCCGGGACCCCTTGCGCGGCAGTCGCACTTGCGACCACTCGGCGAACGAGGCAGTCATTCTGATAATTATAATTATTATCACAAGGAATCAATACGTGATTATTATCTTTATAAAATAGTAGCTTATGCCAGCGGCTGTGCCCGCGTTCCCGTTTGTTTAAAAGTACCCTATGTATTATTTTAGACCATAACATTTACCGCTGTTCCTTTCATTCCGATCCCTCCAGCTGTTTTAGCATGAAGGAGTAGGTAACTAATAAACAATTAAACATAGAAACTTTGTCATTTATAATATTAGTACCGCTATCTTTCATTTAAATCTAAAGGAGATATTTGGAAGACGATACCACCATTTGGGGAAAAGATATACTACAAAACTCCTTTACCGACTGCGTAAAATGTTATTTTATGTTCTTTAATTAAAGGTCGAATTACAACTCAAGGGCTCTTCCACATACGGAAATTCAAATGAAGGTTAATACAAAAAGAAGTAAAGATAAATAAAATAACAATGAGTCATGAAATCAACAAGACTTAACTTTTATTAATTATTAGTTGCATAGAAAATATTGGATATACATATAATATATTGTGGCCAAAAGAACCTATAGTTGGAACACATATCATATAAATATACACACACACATTTCACATATCAAAAAAAATTCAATTGTTTTGATTCTTTATTATATCACTGGGTTTTAGCACTAAGTCTGGAATTGTGCCCGATATATGGTAATAGGCTCACCCCCTATTGCATGGGACTCATAGCATAAAAAGTGAAAAGTGGGTGTTACATTGTACAGTGGCTAATGTGCACCTCTGCCTAGCACTTCGAGGATAAAAGGCGTTATGTGTTATGTTATGAAGTGGTTTGATTTAATTTGAATTTAGAGCTTTTATTAAATTGTGGGAACTTGAATACGTATTGTTTAGACACAAAATATGTTTTTTTCCCTCATCATGCAGTTTTGTCGACATTCTGATGTGTCGTCAGTAAAAGAAGATTATTGACAAACATCAGCATGCCTATTTCGTTATTATTTGAGAAAGTAATGCCTGCATAGATAAGAATTATTAGCAAATAGATTAAATTATATTACCATCATGACTTGTATTTCGTTAAAGAAAAAGTTAAGAACAATACTATGCAAACAATAAATGCATTTGCAAATATTCTATTAGTAAGTTTCTTTTTTATGGAATAAGCCGGTGAACAACTAAACGGAACACCTGATGGTAAGCAATCGACGCCGCCGCTCATCGACACCCGAAACACCAGAGGCGTTACAAGTGCGTTACCGGTCTTTTAGGCATTAAGAGTTTGAGGATTGTTCGTTGATTAGATGTATAGACTTAAAACTACGCCAGCGCCGCTCTAGGGCCGAAACCCTCATTTCAATATTATTAAGATAAAATAAATATGTTGACCCACAAAGATAATAATAATTTAGATTTGCGTTGTTTTGTTTTAGGAAGAAAATAGCCCAAACAATAAAATTCATGTCAGATTATTAAGGTGATAAAGGTTACATCCGCAATTCTGATTTTTTTACTTCATCTTCATACTCTTGTTATCTTAAGTATTTTAATGAAACACGACCTTCTCCAAGGTGATATTCGTAATAGCAAATTGTTATTTGATACGTATAAAGGTATTGCAAGTATTTGATGTCATTCTTCAACCTGGGCCAAGCTAGTAACAAATAGGAATAGTAGGTACTAAGTAACAGGGTAGATGCCTAATTTTTATTTATGTCCGTCTGGTAAATTATTATCATTAGACACGTATTTTTTATTTTTGTACAGAAACGAACACTTTCAACGATATATTGATTTGAAATGTCGCGTGACGTCACTTCTATGTACATTTTATACGTAGAAATGACGTTTTAGCCCCCACTACTAAACTTTGATTCGTTTTATCTAAGTATTGTTTTATTATACGACAAAATAAAAAAATACGTGTCTAATATTTTTTCATTACCTAACTTAAGGACTAAATAGATTTTTAATTTTCATCATCCCATTTGGACTTTACGCCTTTGCTAGTGTTATCTCGTGAAATCGAAAACTTTCATTTTTAAAATATGTATGAACAACTGCCTTTGTAGTCGGAGAAACCCTGGTCTGACTTCCAAGAGGTAGAGTTCGATTCCCGGATCAGATAAAGTACCTCGCTAGCTCGCTCTAGTCTACATGAAACACAGAATTAGCTAAAAATGGGTGTTACGTTTACTAAATGCACTTCTAAATATCTTTTCGATAGATGAAAAGTGTGATGTTATGTGAATGAACGAGCTAACTAAGTATAATAGAATGAGACAAAAACCACTACAACAATGAAGATTATCAACTACCTACTTACTGGCTTAAAATATTTTCCCCCTAATTTCCGTACATAAATGAACACGTGCATTTACATATTTTTATTATCTTTTCAGGGTCATTTACATACTGGTGAGGCGAAGGATGAGAGTGACCGTCACGGATCCACAGAAAAAAGAAGAATTTGCGAGAACCAATGAAGTTTCACGGTTTTAACCGACGCCATTGTAACGATAATTTAGGTAGTAAAACAAATGATCTGAATGTGAAACAAACTATTTAGATTTTTGTGGAAATATTGCCATAAATTAGAAATAAGTTGTTATTACCTTCTACTTAAATAAAGGATTCGATTCGGGATTGGATTTCTTGAACGAAAATTTTTCAGAAGTACCCATAGAATTGTGATTGTATGTGGCAATAGGCTCACCCCAATTACATTGACTCCAACCATGGTGAAAGTGGGAGTTGCATTGTATATAACTTATGTGCACCTCTGCCTAACCCATCAACGAAAAGGATGCTATGTTTCTTATATCCTACTTAAATCATTTAAATTCAACGCGAATTTAATTAAGCTGTCAACTTTGGAGTTATGATTTTCCTGTATCGTGGGTGCGTTTACAAATATAAAAGTCACAAACACTTAACACCCAGACTAATTTGTGGATCACACAAAGATTTATTCCGTGTGGGAATCGAACCCGCTACACTGCGCTACACGTTACGGAGCCGGTTGCCGCGCAAAGTCTAGCGGGTGGGTGACAGTCGTAGAAATTGTCGGTCTTTCGAGGCCTCCTAAGGATGGGAGACTTGAGTACTAGCCCCGAGTACTCTTATATTTACCATACACGGTACGGTGTTTATACAAATGTGATCTTCAGTTATAATTATCTTCGTGTTGACTAGTTGTTTGAGAAATATATAGGATGTGAGACAATAAATATATAGGATGTGCTAGTATACAAGACTGGCAACTATCACAACGGAACAAAGTTGGATTTCCAAAATCGTACGAATTATACTTAATATGTATAAAAACCCAGTGCAATTTTTGAGTATACAAGTGTATTTGTAAATAAACTAAGACTGTACTTTATTACGTTTTAAATGTACATATATTGTTATTATGTATTAAACAATTATTATGAAAGAAAATTGTGTAAGGAATATACGTTTTGTTATCTTGGATATGTGTCTTTTATTTATTTATGAGAAACGGTTCAATGTTCCCTTATCTGCTTGTGAAGTGTCGAAGATTAGTCAACCTAATGTCTGTAATGAGTCTTGATTTAGGAAATTGAATTCTATTTGAATCAAAGACAGATGAATAGGTTGTATGATTTATAAGAGAAAAGAGTAAAGGAAGAATGGTTAAAATGAAAACCCATAGTAACTTGGCAGAAAGAAGAAAAAAAAGCATACTGAGTCAAACTGATCGTTCAAAGACAACGAAATACTTTGCCAGCACCATCTAGTGAACGCAAAAATGATATCACGTTAACAATTATACAAATTCAATAAAAATAATCTTTCCACTTAAAAAAACGCATACCAAGCGCATGACTGCAATGATTTAACGTCATCATCATCATTGACAGCCTATAAGTGCCCACTGTTAAGCAAAGCCTCTCCTCACACGGAGAAGGTTTGAGCATTAATCACGACGCTTGTTCAATGCGGGTTAGCGATTCCAAACTTATAATTAGAAATTATAAGCCCAGGTTTCCTCACGATGTTTTCCTTCACCGTTTGTCAGTGGTGTCTAGATCTTAGAAAGTACATATAATTTGGAAAAAGTCACATTGGTACTTGCCGTTGGTAGGTTTCGAACCCGCATCCTCATGCATGAGAAGATCTTTAACCTCCGGGCTACCACGACATTTTTGCCTTATTGATTTATTTACGTTAGTAAAGATAGTAAAACGCAAGCATATAAAATTTCTTTTGAATTTAAATGTAGACTCAAAGAAGGTTATCAAACATGTACATTTTTGGTATTAAGTATTTATCAAACGAGGGTCCTCCTCGGTGATAAAGTTCAATAGAATAAACCAACGTACTATTTATGTTAGGTCAAGATTCAGTATAAGTTATGCACAGACACATCCAACAAATAATAAAGTAGATCTCAAAATATCTGGAATACAAAAAGCATCTACATAGTACATCGAGATTTAAAAATTTCAAACAAGCCTAGAAAATAGTTCTTTTCGGATATTTATTAGCGGTTTCTTTTTCGTCAAGTTTCAACAAACCAAATTCAACTAAAAGAGCATTGATATTTGTAAAAAAATATAGATTAAATCTCAAGATGGAACTACATTAACATCATTACGCCTTTTATCCCTGAAGGTAACTAACTAACCTCTAACCCTGTAACACCCACTTTTCACTATTTATGTTGAGTCACATGTAATAGGGGTGATCCTATTGACATATACCGGGCACAATTCCAGACTCCGTGCTACTACCACTCGACCTACGACCTAACATTCATATTTCATAATATCTATGGAGAAATTTGATAATAATACGGCACCACTATTGACAAATAAACATTATTAGAAATCACTGTACTGTAATTAATAACTATCACCAGTCCCTTTAAGAAATAATTGTGATAATAACAATAGATTTTCCAATATTGATACATCCAGGTCAATCAACCCGACCACATCCCTACAGACAGCTGTTTCGATACAAGATAAAAAGTAACAAGCTGATTACCGATAAGTATAATCTTCTTGCATTAATGACGTTTTGATGAACAAACTAATCATTTTTTACACAAGCTTTAATACCTTTAAAGCCCTATACCATTATGACCATCACCACGAGATTGGGAAACATATTTTTTATTGGGGTAAACGAGCATCATCGTAAACAAATGACCTGGTAACTAGTAATAGGGTAGTATCCTAAATTTTATTTTAATATCCGTCTGATAGATGATTTTAAAACATTAGACACCTATTTTTTTCTTATGAAATTAAATACTTTCGACGATATATTGATTTGAAATATCGTGTGACGTCACGATTTATTACATTTTATAGGGTAGCGTGACGTAAAGAACTCCTACTCCTAAACTTAACTCCGTTTTATCTAAGTATTGTTATTTCATACGACAAAATACAAAATACGTGTCTAATATTTTTTCATTACCTAACTAATTACATTTTTAATTTTTATACCTCTACACTGTCTTCTATTCTATTCGCGGCACCTAATTATAGACATTCGCGGTACTTATTATAGACATTCGCAATACCAGAGAAGTAAATTACAAATGCCACCCTTTTGGAAAGGACTATGCTCTTTTTTAAGGTTTTGAGTATGTTAACATAGAGCATGAGGATATTTAAACTGGAGGTAGCTTCGTTGCTCAACCGATTGGTATTCGGTAACCAAATCAATCTGTTTGTTCTGGTATTTGTCTGAAGACTGGTTGCGCGAGAAACAGGGCGACTATGGTGTGAATGTGACAAGGTCCTTAAATGAACACCGATCATCAGGGAATGCTTTGTGTCAACTTGGTTGAATTAATCGCACACTTGAGATAAAGTAGCTTAAAGCAGTTGACGAAATGATTGATAGAAATCACAGCAGAAATTGTTTAATTATTATTTAAAATTGAAAAAAATCAAGTAAGTAATTTAAATTGAAAACTGTATTTAGGAAGCTTGGTGTAGCTGTAGACCCAACATCATAAACATAATCACCAATACGACCTAGAACGTTTAAGTGTGGGAGAGCCATGCTTCGGCACGAATGGGCCGGCTCGACCGGAGTGATACCACGGCCTCACAGAAAACCGACGTGAAGCTACGCTTGCGTTGTGTTTCGTCGTGTGAGTGAGGTTACCGGAGGCCCAGCTCCCTTCCCCTTTCCCCAATCTCCCCAATCCCCGAATCCCCAACAATCCTCAAACTCCTAATCCCCAAAAGGCCGGTAATGCACTTGTAATGCTTCTGGTGTTCCAGGTGTCCATAGGCGACGCCGGTTGCTTACCATCAGGTGATCCGTCTGCTCGTTTACTGCTCGGCATATGCCATAAAAAAAAAACTAATAAAATTAGAACATGCAATTACGTTGTTCATAAGCGTCTTTATCAAACATTCTTGAAATACTTACTAACGGAGACAATAACAATTAAGTGAAAATTCGTCAGTCAGAATACGTACCTACTAGAAATTGTTATCAAGCGAAGCCTACCTACCCATAATATATTATTTCCTAACAAAAGTCATCCCAAAAATTATTACAATAAAGTTGCTTTTTCTGTACAACAAATTAGCTACATAAAATAAAAGAAGTGTGAAAATATTTTCATAACGAATTCTTTTTGAAATACCAACGAAATTACTTTCACAATTTTATCTCGGGTGACAATAAGATAAGAATTTCTAATCATACTTTTACATCTATTGACATAGTATTTCATCTCTATGTGAATATTATCGCAGGATTTTATCCCACAAATTACCAACTCAATGACTTTAAGACTTCAGATTAGAAATATTATTGTAGCACATGAATGGACTTAACTTTTTTCATCTCGATATTTAATTTAACTAGGTATATTAATTTGGTAATATCAGATTGAAAAATATTTAATATTAGTACTTAAATATTGAACAGGATTTCTTACAATGACAACGTTGTTTATAATTACATCAATGACTAAAGGGTTTGTTTGCCGGGTTTTCTCCTTCAGGCTTAAGGAATGAACAGCAGTTCTAAAATAGGTATACTGTTAAATATACTTTTTCCCCACTTGAAAAACATACAATTTTAGCTCAGACTTCTTTTAACCTAAGCTATCTACATAAAATATAACAAAACCGACTGAGTGCGACTCAGACTGACACATGTGCTAAGTGTTCCGTACCAAAGACTGCAAATAAATCATACACATCAACAGCCTACAATGCCCACTGCTGAGCAAAAGCCTCTTCTCACATAGAAAAGGTTTGAGCATTAATCACCAGTCACAACGCTTGCGAACGGGTTGACGATTTCAAACTTATAATTACAAATTATACACCCAGGTTTCCTCACGATGTTTTCCTTCACCGTTTGTTAGTGGTGTCTATCTATTAGAAAGTACATACATATAAGTAGGAAAATATCACATTAGTACTTGCCGTTGGTAAGTTTCGAATTCCCTCCGGGCCACCCCGACATTTAAAAAATAAATCCTGTGTCATCGG